CCCCCCCCCCCCCCCCGGCTTGTGCATTCTCTTTCTCTCTCTCTTAAGTAAATAAATAAATAAAATACCAGCTCAAAGAGAAAAGGCCACTTACATTCCATAAAGCTAAAAAAAAGTTTTCGATGGCACACATTTTTGACGACTTATTCTTGATTTTCAGGCTGTGAAAACAACATGGAATTAGGACCCAAAATGTTGGGATTGTAATTCTAGCTCTAATAGCATCTGATGGGACTGACTCCAGGAATCCTCTAACCTTTCTGGGTCTGTGTGAGAGAATAGAGTTGAGAGTATTGATAATATGCCTTCTTAAATTCTGTCATGTGATTTTTGGAATTGGCATTCCAATATATGTATCTAGACATATTTGACCAAAGTAAATATTGACAATTTTGAGTGCAACTTGGAAAACACCAAGTAGTTAAACCATCAAAATGCTTTAAAAAAAAAAAAAAAGTTATTCTTTGACCTCTCCAGTAATCCAAAAATTAGTAATATATGTTGGATAGAGGTGTCTTCTTATGTGGGTACCTCACTGCAACTTTTCTAGAATTACTGCTAGTACATGGTTTTTCTTGTTTCTGGGTATTTTAAAGAAAATTTCAAGAAGATGATTGCAACATCTGGTTGCATCCTGTGCCCTTCCTGGCAAGGGAAACATGCTGGAATTTTGTCCCTCTTCTTCTTAGGGTCTTTTATGCCCATGTTTTTTCCACTTGAGGTATGGTGACCAAGTACAAATCTGCTCTCCCTTGCCCTGGCACTATCTCTATTGTAATAGTTCTTTTCCTACCTGTCTTTTGTCACAGGCAGAGTCTTTACCACTCTTGCCATATCACGCTTCTTTGTATTCATAGACCATGTCACTAGATTGAGTTTTGGCATGCAGGTAAAGATACCAGCAGACAACCTGTCCACCTGTGATAGGTAATGGGGATCTCCTCATTTACCACAGGCTCACTTGACAGTTCTGCACTCTAACCCAATGAGTCATATTAATAATTTGCTTTGAAAAAGAACTCCAAGTCACAACCAACCTGCAGAAAGTCCTTGGGAATTTTCTTATCAGATAAGAATTAAAAATAGTGATGAAGGGGCGCCTGGGTGGCTCGGTCAGTTGGGCAGCCGACTTCGGTTCAGGTCATGATCTCACGGTTCCTGAGTTCGAGCCCCGCGTCGGGCTCTGTGCTGACAGCTCAGAGCCTGGAGCCTGTTTCAGATTCTGTGTCTCCCTCTCTCTGACCCTCCCCCGTTCATGCTCTGTCTCTCTCTGTCTCAAAAATAAATAAACGTTAAAAAAAAAAATTAAAAAAAAAATAGTGATGAAATGGGTGGGGACTGAATGGAAGGCATCCAAAAGAAGATTCCTTCTTCCTGCATTTCCCCAGACCAGGTCTTTGTCATTCCCAGCCCGAAAGAAAGGAAAGCATTTCTCTTTCAAGACTTCGTTCTAAGGATCTTCACTCTTACTTAGGTTTGTGAATCAAGTGGTGATCCTTTTTCAAACTTAATTTTAAAAATTCATGCAATATATGTTCATTATAAAAATTCTAGGGGCGCCTGGGTGGCGCAGTCGGTTAAGCGTCCGACTTCAGCCAGGTCACGATCTCGCGGTCCGTGAGTTCGAGCCCCGCATCGGGCTCTGGGCTGATGGCTCAGAGCCTGGAGCCTGTTTCCGATTCTGTGTCTCCCTCTCTCTCTGCCCCTCCCCCATTCATGCTCTGTCTCTCTCTGTCCCAAAAATAAATAAACGTTGAAAAAAAAATTAAAAAAAAAATTCTCACACTACATAATTATGTAAACATGAAAGTTCCTTTCTGTGTTCACCCTTGTAGCTATCATTCTACAGAGGTGGTCACTGTTAAACTTTTGGTATTTGACACCCCATGTGGTCTACTAGATCTAGGAATACAGTGTCAGTCTAGATGGGAAGAAGGCTTTTCATCATGGTAGGAATTCATTCTCAATTCCTAAAACTATATGTGCATTGGAATCAGCCCCTTTTACTCTATCATGGATAATCTATGAAAAAGATGTCCTTTCTAAAAATTTTTATTATGGAAGTACAGTTGACGATATGTATTTTAAACTTGGACACTGGGAGGAGGAAGAGAACATGTGAATGCCTACTATGAATGTGCCAGGCACTGTAAACAATTTATATGTTATTTAATACTTACAGCCATACTGCAGAGAGTTTAGATATTCTATAATGAAAGAAAAGGAAGCTTGAAGAGCTTCCCCAGAGTCTCACTGTTAGAAGAATCAGGAATCAAATCTGAGTTAAAGCTTATGTCTTTTCCACCCTACTACATGGGCATTTTGCCTCTTTTTCCATTCTTTCCACTAGTATTTATGGCCTGGCATAGAATATATTTTTCATCAATATTCTTGGCAATACAGCTTATAATATGTGTGTGATAAGTTACATATATAAGGCATGCTATTAATCATTGGGGGTAGGGGGAAGACTTAAAAAGACTTCAGCAAGGAAGGAAGGAATGTCCTAAACCAACTCAGAGGCCATCCAACTTAGTATACTGTCAGGAGGCACTCAAGTAAAGTTAAGGGAAAGTTTAGAAATACATTGTGGCAAATATTTTATGAGATTTAAAATGTTGAAAGTTTGTGAAGTCTCTTCTAGACCCCACTGTTCATCATTATTTTAAATTCATTCAAAATTTTCCTGTCTGAATTTTCAATTCATATAAAGATCTCTCATCTCAGTCCCTAGAGAAGTGGCATCCTCCAATTTCTAAGTTCCATTGCCAGTACTCAAGTGTTTGAAACTGCTCTCTATAGTTATCTGGCCTGTATCACCTATTCAGGTAATCTTTGTTCCCTGGGCTTAGCTCTCAGAAATCACCATTTATCCTCAGGGGTTGTGGTACTCAGTGGCTCAGTTGACTTCCCGAATGTATCTTCCAGGCTCTTCCTATAGCGTCCTTTTATTAAAAGTATATTCTGTTCTTGGGGCATCTAGCTGGCTTGGTCAGTAGAGTATGCAACTCTTGATCTCAGGGTTAAGTTTGAGCCCCACACTGGGTATAGAGATTACTTAAAAATAACATCTTTAAAAAAATAACCTGGTGCCACCTTCCTCGAGGATACCTGGGCTAAGGAACCAGTGCCGGTTGCATCCTTCACTAAGGAGGCCTCGCTACAATTCTGCCCATCCTTAGCCCCTTCATCAAATATGCCACCATAATTGACCAGGCCACATCCTACAACTATCCAGTGCCCCTCTGAGATGATGGGGACATGCCCGACATGCCCAGCCACCCCCAGGACCCCAAGATCCAAGCCTGGAGTGGCTGAAGAAATTGTGAGCACTGCTGGTGACATAGAGGAGGCCGCCTCCCCTCTGGCCAATAAAATGCAAAATGCAGCCACAAGGGGGTAAATGTATTCTGTTCTTGATCCTTGCTACAATCTCAGCAACGATGTAGGTGGATTTCCTCTCTCAGCTGCTTGAGGAACGGATGTGGTGGAACATTATTTCCTTGACTCGTACAAACTCTTGAGCTAGTGCACCTAAGCCTCTAAAAGACCTCTGGTCTTTTTAAAGCTTTTTTACACCTACCAAGTTCCAAGCCTGAAAAATCTTGTGCAGGTGTGGATCAGAATCACCAGGGGAGCTTTGGTTAAACATGAATACTTGAACCTTGCCTCAGACCTAATGAGGATCTCTGTTAATACAGTTTTTCAGTGATTCTAATCCCTGTGGCTAATTTAATTAATTAAAATGATATAAAATTTAAAATTCAGTTTCTCAGTTGTACTAGTCACATTTTAAATGCT